TAACCACTTACCTATTAAGTACCAAATACATCTGACAGCTTTCAAGGCTAGTACCAAAGATCCCCACTTAATATATTTGGACTTTTAAAGTAGCCAGGATTTCAAGGGAGTTAGAGGGCGTTGTGAGTGAATATTCATTTTAATTACATTAATCTTACTTCAGAAATTCAATGAAAGGTTTTTTTCCCATTGAATTTTATCTACTAAAACTGCATCTATATGCTTAGATATTTTTAATTCAGTATATTTTGACGAAAATATTAACCCAAATATTTTATGGAGTCCGTACAAATTGTAAATCCTAATTCCTTGCAGTAGCCTATAGATATTGTAAATCCCAGAAGCAACAAATCAGACTTTCCAATTGAGTGTAACCAGACTATAAATCACACTGGTGTACAGTTTTAGTAAGCTTTAATAATGATACTACAAAATGATCCAAAATGGCTATGATGTCATCAGTATATAGAAACAATTTAAATTCAGTACCAAGTGCCACCACATCCTAATATCTTGAGGCTGTCTAACAAAAAAACCTAGGGGTTCAAAAACAAAATTAAAGTTAAAGGAGCAAAGATAATCCCAGGTGCTACAATACAGCTGGATGGGTTGAGGAACAAATCAGTTTGTAGTGACTGTACCTACTGGGTGAAGGTACCAAATTATAATCCAATAGACTAAACTTGGTAAAAATCCATTTGTTCTCAGAACATACTTCATAAATTCAATCTGAACAATATCAAAGCCTTTTCAGCATCCAAAAAGATTTAACTTCTGATTCTGATTTATCTGCTACAATGTCCAAAATATCAGTTGCCAAATGGATATTATCAAATGCTTCTCTATTTTTTATGAGTGCAGATTGAGATGGATGAAATATGAGACAGAAGAACACATTCAAGTTTGCTTGGCCCTTCAGTGGCCATTCTCTGTACTGTTATTTAAAATTCCTTAGAAATCTAACTTTTATATTATAACTCCTGTATGTAGCGTTAAGTGCTGTGTAATATTAATGTTGTTTTATTTTTCATTTACAGTTTTTAAAGCACTTTTCTCTGGAAGTGATCATCATTCCAGTGTAACTAAGACAGAAATCTTGACTCAGCCATTCTGTAAATTAAGCAGGAATTGGGATGAGCATCTATTTATGATGAGTTCAATCACTTGCTTAGATTACAGAAATGTCATTAAAGCATCATTATGGAGAATAAAACTCAGATCTTAATGTAAGATGTCTCATAACTGTGGGAAATCTCTCTGTGATCATTCCATATTTAGTTTTTTTTTCCTAATGATTTCTAAATTCCTTGATGTTGAGATATTGTTTAAAAAAAATAGAATAGGTCTATTCAAAGACAGGGCACTGATTTGTTTGATCACTAAATGAGACATGGCAGCTTGTATGAAGCCTTCTGAAAAATGCAATAATATAAGAACAATGAAGAAAACAGTCATCTGTATTGCATTGCTACAGCGCCGAGATGGTGGTATCCAGGGAATGAAGCTGGAGTATTGCTAGAAAGCAGATGAGAGCCATAATACAATTGAACAGTTTAGATACTTGTAAAAATTAAAAACAAATATAAAAAAATAATTTTCTACAGCTATCCATAATAGTGAACACATTAGTTGGAGAGAGAGAGAGACAGGGAGGGAAGGAGGGAGAGAGAGACATTATATGCCATCAAGTCATTGTTGATTCTTAACAACCACATAGATAGATTTTCTCCATGATGATCCCTAACCTGGTCTTTCGGATCTTTCAATGGTGCACTCATAGCTGCTGTAACTATGTCCATCCACCTTGCTGCTGGTCATCCTCTTCTTCTCTTTCCTTTCACCTTCCCAGCATTAGAGCCTTCTCCAGAGAGTTAGGTGTTCACATAATGCAGCCAAAGTAGGATAATTTGACCCAGGTCATTTGTGCCTCGAGTGAGAAACCTGGGTTGATTTGTTTGATGATCCATTGGTTTATTTCCTTGGCTGTCCACAGTATTCTCAGGAGTCTTTCCCAACACCAAACTTCAAGTGTCAATAATCTTCCTACCATGCTTCCAACTTTTGCTTCCATAGAGTGTCACAAGGAATACCATGGCTTGCACAATTCTGATCTTTGTAGGTATAGACACATCACAGCATTTAAATATCTTTTCCAAGGCCTTCATGGTTGCTCTACCAAGTGCTAGCCTGCAGTGTATTTCTTGACTGCTGGTTCCTTTACAGTTGATCGTTGATCCTAAAAGACAGAACCTATCCCCCACTTCAATATTTTCATTGACAATTCTAAGACTGGTTGTTCTACCTGTTGTCATTACTTTGGTCTTCTTGATATTCAATTTCAGTCCATTTTTTTCACTGTGCTCCTTGACTTTTATTACTACAGCTTGCAGATCCTTTGCATTTTCAGCTATCAGGATAGTGTCATCAGCATAGCACAAGTTATTGATGTTTCTTCCTCCAATTTTAAAACCATGCTTATCTTCTTCCAATCCACCTTTCCTTAATATGTTTTTGGCATATAGATTGAATAAATAAGGGAGAATATACAGCCTTGTCTGACTCCTTTGCCAACTTGGAGCTAGTCTGTTTCACTATGTTCTGTCCACACTGTGGCTTCCTGACCTGTATAAAAGTTTTTCATAAGGATTTGTTCCAGGATGGGATGAGTGAAGAATGTCAGGAGTATATGCCAAGAGTATGTATTACTAGCACATTCATCAAAGGCATGAAAGACATCCCAGTTGCCCAGCTAAAGCAAGGAGGCACCTATATTGGGCAGCAGCAATATAGGAAGATGCTGGAGGCAGATGATCTCTTTAGTGACAATGGCAAAGGCATCAATTAATACTGTGCAAGAGAAGGCAGTAGTAAACCACTCCTGTATTTTTATCTAAGAAAACCACAGAGAGATGATAGATAGATAGATAGATAGATAGATAGATAGATAGATAGATAGATAGATAGATAGATAGACAGACAGACAGACAGACAGACAGACAGACAGACAGACAGACACAGAAAGTTCCTTCAAGACAATCTAGACTCCTGCCTGACAAGTCCATGCAGTTTTCTTAGTAGCATTTTCAGAAGTGGTTTGCCATTGCCTTCCTTTTAGGACTAAGAGAGCGTGACTTGCCCAAAGTCATCCAGCTGGCTTCATGCCTAAGGCAGGATAGAACTCACAATCTCCTAGTTTCTAAGCCTGGTGTCTTTAACTACTCTACAAAACCGACTCTTGATAATTCTTCTTACCATCTTTAAAATAATATGGTTTTTCAAACCTGACAGAGTTAGTACAATTCTTAGGTTTATATATGTTTGCATGCATACATAAATGGTCATCTGTCACCAAGAATGTAGAATATTCTACAGTGACATTATCAAATGCTAAAACAGAGAAGTTTGCTTCTACTTGTAAAGAGGGGAAACCATTAGTTTAGGACAATAATCACATACATGGTGAGTGACAGTTAGGATATATTTTCTTAAGCTTCTTTGTTAGATGTCCTTCCCTTAAAGAGTCCAAGCAGAATTTTAATCTCCCCACAGAAGTATTATGTTCCTCCATTTATTTTAACTCAAATGCTATCTACAGCACTCTCAAGTTCACTCATTCAAACTTCTGAACAGGAGTTGATATTTATCATACAGTTCAGTTATTCTTCTATTAAATTGTTTTTGTTCCATTTGAACAAATACTTTCATATTCCAGTAATGGGATTCATTCCATCAGGTTTCTGTTATACCTATTAAACCAGGTTTATCTTATTTACATATCATAGTCTGATCATTAAAGCATAGACAACAAAGAACATGGACTTTATGTATCAATGTTCTTTCTGATTTTTCTTTGAGTAGTTTAAGAAAACCCATTTTAATAACACTGGCCATTTTTAACAATGCATTTTATCTGAGATTCTTACTTCAGGGTTTCCATTTCTACTCCCCCCACCCTGAAATATTCCATTTATATATTCCTAACAAGCTCATTATACTTTGCTAAACATATTTTCACCAGTTCTTCTGAGTAGTCCATCATCTAGATACCTCAGACCATGTTTCCAGAAATGATCCTGTTGACTTCATTTGCATAACCAGGCATTGACTTACAGTATATTTCTTTCCTTTTCTAGTCTTCGTCTATGGATTTGTAGTATGGATGAGAATATCACCAGGATCTTGAGCTTTCTTCTAAGATTTTCAAAGTCTGGTGATATCATTATTGCTCTTCTTTGCAGTACACTTTATCTTCAATTTTTTAGTAGACAGTGGAAGTTTTTTTCCTTGATATTTCTTTCTAGAAAATAGCATGCTTCATATAAAAATGACACATCCAAGAATTAAACAGATTAATCTGTATGCACAAAATAGAATGATAGCACAAGTCTACATGTTCTCACACCAACTTTATGTTCTCCAGATGTGTTGGATTAAAGCTGCCAAACTTTTCAGCCAGTTAGATGGGAATATTGGTGGTTGCTATCAAAAATAGTCCAAAAAGAAGGTTGGAGAAAGATGTGTTTCACTATATGAGCTAAGATTGTGCCTTTGTGGAGAAGAACCCATTTAATCTATAGCCCATGTTCTGATATACTGTCTTTTATAAGGATATAAAGAGCTGTTTCATAACTCCCTATTTGGTGAACTATCCAGACAACTCTGAAATATTTTATATACAGCTATTCCTGGCAAACCAGTACAATTCAATTTCCTTGAATGTGGCAAAAAATTGTTATATTGTCTGTAAAAATGTAATATGCCTTGATCATCTAGATGGTGTTGTTGCAATTTTACATTTGCATTTTATTTTTCTTGGATCAAAACCTATCTGTTTTGTTAAGTTGTACAATCTGGTCAGTGACCATAATGAAAAAGTAGGGTTATGTGTTCATCTGTGTCAAGTCTTCACCTAAAGGTCCCTCTTGTCTTGCTGTACAGTCAACTGGAATAACATCACAGCAAAACAATTGAACTTATTTTGTTTTGTTTTCCTTCCCAAGAATCCTGCTGTGAGTTATTTGAGTCCCAGCCGTGGACCAGAGTCAGGAGGGACTATGGTGACCATTACTGGCCATTTTCTGGGAGCTGGCAGCAGTGTGTCGGTATTGCTGGGTAATCAGACCTGCGAGTTTTATGGGTAAGAGAGTGGGGGGGAGGTTGAGTTTACATGAGTATATGTTCTGAATAAACTTCACTGTGCTTCCACAGGCAATACTAAAGCCACACCAGCTTTAAACACCCAACCTCTAAAAAAATTACCTTAAGCTATGCTGTTGCTGATTGTGATTAATACTGCATAACAATGAACTGAGTCTATGCTGATTACTTTTATCTATTGCTTTACTTTTATGTATCAAAATCCTACCTACCCCCAAGTCCCAAGCATATTCTGTGGCTCAAATCCCTTTACATGTTCTCTGACCTTTTTTTCTCAGCACAGAAGTAAAAGAGAGTGAGAGAAAAAAGAAAACAAAAATAACAGACATCTCTTTCAATTCTCTTATTGTTATTCTAACGATGAAAGCAGCAGGTGTGCCTGCCTCCCAGCATGATGGGAAAGGGGTTGAGTGACAGAAATTAAGAATGAAGCTTTACTTTTCTTTTGTTTTGGAACTCACAAATCTATATTTCAGTTTTTCTATATTTTTAAAGTGGTAAAAATACATCTCGTTTACTACTTCTTACCAAAAAAGGCATACAGAATTTTTGTCATGTCTACTTAAACTTGCAGTACCATTAATTTATATATTCTAATTTTGTGCATTTGTATGAATGGCATGCTGCAGTGATGATCAATTAAATATTTATGAATAAAATAACCTTCTGCTGTACATAATCAGTCATATAAAATAATATCAGGTTCAACAAGACATGTAGAGCAGACTGATTGAAATCAGAGGATTAAAGTAGTCAATACTAACTTAATGTTCACTGGGTCTGCTCTAAGAATGATTAATTTTGCATCCAATCCTTTGTCTTTATGATGAAGACTGTTGAGCAATGTATGAGTAGGATTTTATATCCTTGATACAATTCAGAATTTTCACAATATGACAAAGTCTGTCCAGGTTTTGTAAAGACCTGTAAGGTAAACTGCTTGGATTAATTTAACAAATGTTCAATACAGAATCATAAATCTTAATATGTGCACAACCTGATTCCACTAAAATATCCAGGTGATAATTCAGGATTTACCTCTAGAATAAATTTTCCTCTAGGAAGCCTAAAGTCTATCCAGGTGTTATAAGTATCCTAGGTCAGCCCTGTTATGTCATTCTTCACATGTAGATAGAGGGCAACTATCTGTAGTGAAGAGCCTCTACTGTCCATGAAAGTTCTCCCTAAGTTATAAAACCTGGGTCCTCAATTTTGTGAGTGTTCCATGGATGGATCAGGGTCTCCAAGACAGACTGGAGGTTGGAACAAAAACATAGGGCCAGCACACTAATCCGTCCTCTCCTTCAACACATTTAGATTGTTCATACTTTGAGAAAAAATGTGTAAATCAAAGGCTTCAAATATAGTATTAATATCACCACTTTATTTCAAAATATCAAACAATATATACATAACATTAAATGTTATGACAGAATAACATATGTACTAAGTACTTTGTTGTATTTGTTGTTATAATAAAAATTAAGGTTTGAGATTTCTCCTACTTGCTATTGCTTCTTTACAATTTGCCTGCAATATAACCAACATTTCCAAAGGTGAATTAGTGAAACTTTTCATATTAGTGCTGCTTTATTCAGCATCTGAAGAGACAAAATATCTCAGTACCCACTTTATGCCTGGACTGGAAAGGGGAGATAAGGAATGACATGTTAATGAGTAGTCTTGATTTAATTGATTTAGTATCTCCTTATCTAATAGGACAGAGTTCATTTATACCTTTGGAACAGATAAGAAGGAATGTGCATAGTTACATTACAGCAAGTTTTTAATTTCTTATCTATAGAAGAGGTTTTCTTTATGGTATTTGCTTCTCAAATAAGGTTTTAAGTCTGGAGTTATGCGGGGGCTCTCTCAACTGATGCTGGGATGCAACACTGACATTTGCAGAGCTCATGCTGGTTACATGCCTTTCATTAGCTCTGTTGGCCAACATGACAAACAATGGTGTCACATAATTTGTTAGCATAAAAAAAAAATCAAAACATACTTGAATAACTTTGAGTAGTACTCTGCTTCTCTTGAATATCAGAAAAGGACATGTGTGTATGTATGCATTTAATGGATGTATAGTGTCACCCAACTCAAGCAATGTGACTCTGGGCAGTGTACAACAAAGCAAACAATAAACAGAAAAAATAACCATACAGCATTAAACAACAACCCAATATATGAAGTATAAAATGGTGACCAAATATGATAATTAAACAATCAAAAGGAGATCCACTCTACTGGACTCAAATGTCTGGAGAAAAAGCCAGGTTAGGATACCATGGTCAATGATATCAAAAGCCACAAAGACATAAGATGAGTCAAGATGGAGGCACTACCCCCATCCAGAGCTTGCCACAGGTAACTGACAAGTGTGACCAAAACCATTTCTGTACCATACCCCAGCCTGAACTGGGACTGAAATTAGTCCAGATAATTAGCTTCCTCCAGTGCCCTCTGATGACAAAAGGCAAAAGTTATCCAGATTTGCTGGATCCAAGGATGGTATCTTGAGGAGGGGGCACACCATTAGCTCTGAAAGCACCTCCATAGGGCCTTCCCAGATGGAGTCCAACTCAGAGCAAACCTGAGCAATTTTATCCACCAGTTGTCTAGAATAGTCCTTACAGCATTTAGAGAGTAAGGAACATGATCTTGATGGAAATATGCAGATTCTGTTGCTAATGAAGCAAGAGCTAAAATATTTTTTTAAGTCCATAACATCCAGATAACATTCAGAAGTGGCTGAGACATACACCTCCCTAATTCAGTGAACTATAAGAAGGAGGAGGAGGTACAGCAAAATCAGACTTGCAAGATTCTGTTATTATAGCTAATCTCAATAAAAGTAGTTGTAGACATCCTATGGAGTTGATTTATGGTCTGGTCTACCTAGTGGGGCTGACACGGCAACCCCTCAGATGCTCCACCAGTTCCTCCTGATCTAGAAGTCAGTATGCTTTCTTCACCCATCAAGGGTCCCATTCACAAGCCAACCACAAATTATCTCCTTTCAGATGGCAGGTTAGTACTTCTGACCGCACACTCTGAATCTCTAAACCAGCCCCCTGCCCACTCACCTTCAAAACCCAACCACTCCCTCCCCCTCTGTACTCATCATAGATAGGGCAACAAGCATACAGCCTCACCAACCTAAGGCAAGCCACTACACCCCTTCCATCTCCCACCCAGGAGGGGCATGAAAAAGATGGCTCAAGTCCCAATCCTTCTCCCACCATTGTGCCCTACAATCAACCTTCATCCCAGTTTCAGTCTTCCAACCATCAGTCCTAGATCCAGTTGCTCTTCAAGGAGGCAGAGTGACATAACTTCCAAAGGGCTGCAAAGTCTCTGCAACCAAGTCCACCTGGCCACAGTAGTAGCATCAGATCCCTTTGGAAATGGCCACCTTCTCCTTCCAGACAGAGTCACCAATGAGGCAAGATAGTTCCTGTCCTCTGAGCATGTTGCTGCAGCTGCAGGACACTGCCTGGACTTTGTCAAAAGCTGCCAGCTAGCTCGCACCCCTGCCACAGACCAATGCCGCCCTCAACCATCCTCACCCTTCCAGAAATTGAAGGCCAGACAAGACCAGCCTATCTGGTCACCTGCCAAATGCTGAATGTCCTTTCACATTCTTCATGGTTTGTTATCTTGTGGGCACCTATTATTTATTTATCTTTATATTTCCTTCTTTGTGGAATATACCACATTAGAATCTATAAAACAGCATCTGTATCTCAAGGGAATTTTTTCACATTTTTTTTTCAATATGCAGATCAAGGAAAAGTTCAGAATAGATTACCCTCACATCTAAGCTTAGTGCAACATAACTATTCCACTAAATGTATGGTTACATTTAAGAACTCTTTCTAATTCACTACATCATCTAATTGACCATATAATCCAGTGAACCAACATTTCTCAGAATCTAACATCATACTGTTTATCCCTGCCTTTCCATACAAGGTCATAACATGGTCTTTTTTCTTTCTTTTATAAACTGCATGGTTTATAGGTGATGAACTTGGCATGTACTCATGATGTGCAGGAGACTGATTAGATGAAGCAGTTTCTAATGAGATTCACTGTAATTACAGCTTCTTTCTATTCTCCTGCCTCTGATCGGAGGAGTGGAGAAATTCACCATGACGACATGGTAATAGCGCAGAAAGCTAATTAACTGATCACAGGGAGCTTGCAGTAACTCTTTGCCAGCAGTGATGTGTCGCTTTGGATCTTACACAAGGACTAAGCAGACTTCTCTGAAGTCTGGTCTCTGGCATGCTAAAATCCCTGTTCTCACATGAGGCCGCTGCTAGATAGAAGGACACGGTACAAGATTATTCAGCTCCAAGAGGAATTGTCTCTTATTATGGCCAGGTTGCACAGTGATGTGGCAATGCATAAACTTTCTTTTTTTTTATCTTTACATTTTCCATTCCCCTCTACCCGTTACCACTTATTCATCATCCCTTCCCCTATTTCTTTGCCCTTTAATCTCTTTACCCATCCCTTGAATCGAGTTTGTGATATTTTTTTTCATTCCAGGAGCTCTCTTTTGCTCTTTCAGGAAAAGACACAGAGTGGTATTCAAAAAAAGTTTGTATCATGAGGGAAAAAATGTTTTTTCTTCTCAAATATAGTATATCAATTCCAATTCTCTTCGCATAACCACAAGTATTATACTTAATATTTAACTATTTGGAAAAGTGCAGTACAAAATCCATTATACTGATGGTAATGTGTGACCCTTTAACAAATATGGTGCCATCCCACACACTGGGGATATAACAAAATCTTGCTATGCCCCTAAGGTTTGCAGGATGGAGATTGCTGGAGTATTTTGGAATAGGACATATGTACCTGGCCTGAAGTCTTAAGAGGAGAACCCATAAAACATTTTGTCTTATTTGTACTGCCTTAATTCCTGTGTAAAGAGCCAAAGGCTGAGCATAAATTGAAAATTATGTTGTATATTTAATGTCTTTACTTTATATTGTGTCAGAACCATGCCTGATCCAGGTAGTTTCACAATTAATTATTATGGTTATTGATAGTTATTACAGTTTGGTTTTTTAAAAAAATGCAAGAATCGCCCATCTGCCATTCTATGACTATACATTTTTTCCTATCAGGAATGTGTCTGTAGGCAGTTGTATGACTTTTCCCACAGTTATTATGTCCAGAAGTAGGACTCAAGAAAGGGAGATGAAGGCTCAATTTAACTTCAGTTTTTCTGCCATTAGTTATACATCTCCCACACACAGACATAGTGGAGAAAGCACAGGGCTTCCAAATCTTTTCTTCTCTGAGGATTAAACCTGTTTGGATGTTGATTTTGAATAGGAAGGGAAATAATTAATTGTCATTCCCTTACTTTTTCTCAAATCAGGTAAAACACATTTACCCCATCTCCCCTCCTCCCTTCCTTACACATGCACATATACATACACACCAGCACACCACATTTAACACACACTTTCTCTTTCATACATGGATATGCACGTGCTCATATGATTGGTGAGGCCTTCCAAATGGACAGACTGCAGTGAAGTTGAGGCAAGCCTCCCCCATAATACTTTAGAGGCTTGCCTCAACTTCTCTAGTTTATAAGGAGAGATAGAAATCAAGTCCACTGTTAGCTTATCTTATAAATAGCAACTCAGCTCACATGAGAAAAAGGCTGGGAAAAAGCATTTCAAATTATCTGAAGAAACTCAGCCTTAATGAACTCAGTGAAAATTAGGGTTGGACATTCCTCTTGCAGTTTCCAGGATTCTGTTATTTATCCCAAGACTAGTATTAAAGATACTGAGTAAAGTTGGTGTCATCTTGCTTTCTTGATCTTGTCAGCTGGTGTGGGGCTTGACCTTTTAGAAGCCTTTTCAGAGTTTCTAAAGCTTTAGAGTTTTAGATGGTTTAAATGGTTTTAAAATGTATGTTTGTATGGTTTTAAACTCTCTGTGCATTTGGGGGGGGTATATACATACATACATGCATACATACATACATACAATATTTATATTGTATGAAGAGATGGGAGTGCAAAATGTTGCATTTCAGGAACAAAGTGTTCTGTTCTTCCTCCAGACCACACAGATGCAACAAATCACTACCAGAACAGTAGAAGGGCATGGAGGAAAAATGGGGCCTTCCAGTGTTCCTTGGAATGTTCCATCCCCATACTGAGTATTTTGCACATTTTAATTGTAAGCCATTCAGAATCACTTGTGAGTAGATGGCAGATACATTTGTAACATAAATAAATGAAATTAATACACATTACAGAATTTATTCAGTCAGTTTTTGTCTACAGAAAAGAAAATGTTGGCAGTATTCTTTTATTTAGCAGATGTGAATTCCAGGGTTGCATACTCAGGGCCTTGCCACATGTTCCCAAAAATGAGAACTGCAGCACCAGATTTTTAATCTTGAGCTAATTACAGTCCAAACATTAAATGGGCTATGCTTATTATATACCGAAGTAATCATGACTTCAGCTGAAAATACTTTAGTGCTCATGCTGAGTCTTCATGGGTCATGACTATCAAATATCTACCATATCTATTAAAAAGGCACCATATCTCACCCAAAGATTGTCACTCAACTGTTTTGCAATGAATCCCAAGGATTCTTATTGTCAGTAGTTCAAAGAGTAGTGCCATTCCTTGTTCACATTTCTTCTAATTAAAGGTTGCTTTGTCTCTTACAGGAGGTCAATTAATGAGATTATGTGTGTTTCTGCACCCTCTACCCATGGTCTTGGACCAGTGCATGTTTCAGTCAGTGTGGATCGGGCCCAGCTAGACAGCATGTTGCAATTTGAATACATTGATGACCCAAAAGTTCAGCGGATTGAGCCTGAATGGAGCATAGCCAGGTAACTAGGCTTTCTATAATATGACATCAAGAAATGAATGACTTGAAGGAGGGCACAGGCAATTTCCCAACACACAACAGAAATTCAACCAGATTGAAATTTGCAAAGCATTATTCAAAGCCATATGATTTTTGTGCTGTTTTACTAGTGTCTACTTAGGATGCATCTCCAGTCAGGTTACTTACTTGTTCTTACCCAAATAATTCAAACAAAACAATAATTGGGCAGAAAAGATTTGGCATCATTATTACTGAGCATATCTAAAAAGCATACAACAATTTTTTCTTCATGAATATCTTCAATGAACTAAAGCCATCCCAAAAGCCACTTTGCAAAAAATTCTTAACAAGTTTAGAATCAGCTGAAAATATTTTATCTTGTCAAAACAAATGAGATGCTTGATAATTGTTGTTATCTTTGAATAAATGAAGGTTCTTCATCCATGCAGGAACAGCACATCCAAGTGCAATTTTGATGGGCATGGATTTCACAGTCATGGAAGGGAAAAATCTGTTCAGCAGTTATTATGCCTAAAATTCAACAACAGCTTTGTTCAAATTTTGAAACCATGTCACTATGGGTGATGACTTTAGAATCAACACTGGCTTTATAAATGCTAGTTTAAAAACTGCCCTTCAATGCAGAAAAGAAAACAGAGTCTGTGACTTAGCACAGCACATCCAAGTTCCCAGTGAGAGAGGAAAAAGGTATAATTTATACTTCTCTTCGTTTGTTTTCCTCTCCATTGTCAGCACCCAGCTTCACAGTTCCTAGAGGATTTATTCCACCTGTGTAAATATAGAAGATTTATGAATAAAGGTCAGATCTTTCAAGAAGTATGGCATATCCATTCCTGTGATTTTCTGGGTTCAGAAGATTTAGACAACTTGAAGAATTATATCTGTAAAATGATCACATAATTTGCATTTGCTGAGCCAAAGAAATAGTAGATGTAAAAACTTATTTGAAAATGTTTCCTCCTTTTCAATCTATTGCAACAGAACAAACTATCTGGAATAGTAGGTCTCCCATCCCCAGGCCTGAATGCATCATTGCAAGGCAGTTAAAGCATGTTCCCTGAGTTAGAAAATCAGAGTTATTAACTCAGTTGTAATTACTGAGTCAATTACAACCATAGCAATCTGTGACAAGATTCTAGGAGAGCGAATGGAGCCCCACGATCACTTCCATCTGCTGAAGAAGTGCACAATTACTCATTAAAGGCTTCTTCTTAAGATCATTAGAGAGTCAGGGCTAAAACAAAAACAATGGCAACTGATGCAAAAAGAGGAGGGGGGAGCTCATGCATGAGATGATCAAAGATACACAGCTATACCCCAGAAGAATACTCTACAGTACAGTTATTGATTGAATACTTTCTAAACCCGGGGTCAGTTTTTGCAATGCTATTAGCTTTTTCTGACTTCCGCAGAACTGCATACAGTTCTGTGAGTGTGATCACTTTATACTCACAGATCTGAGAAATGGAAGTGTTTCATATAGAAATAGACAGTGTTGGTTTCTCAGAAGAGATTCTGGGCTGGCTTTAGAAATCCTTAGAAGCATTGTGGTCAACCTGAAAACAGATTGAAGAAAAAAATAGAACCGAAGACCTTAAAAACATAAACAGGAATTTGAGACCTTTACAAATCTCCAATTTGAATATCTTAGAACATTGTGTCTTTAATAACTTCTTAGTCCTATTTAACTAGATACCTGATAATGTTTTAATTTTCTGGATGCAAATAAGGCAGAACAAAAACAATTTGACGGACAACAGTCATTTCCATCCTAGTTCTCTCTAGTTCATAAGTAAGGAAAGGAGAAGTCTGGAGGATTGATTAAATTTGGGGCAGATAGATTTTGATCCACATCACAGGAAAAACAGAATAACTTTGGTCAGAAGCAACAATCAAGGCACATACTACATTAGATGAAGTATTCGGACCTTCCTTAGGAACTGGAGAGGCTAAAATCAAAAGTATGTTAAAAGATCACCCAAGAATTGACACAACAGAAAGATATCACTGCCAAAAAGTTAGCATATGCAACTGTGATGAAAGGCATGAGCGGGGAGGATTCTGGAAAGAGCTTCAAGGTTACAGAGAAGGGGGAGAGACATTCCAAGGGAAGCATCTCCTCAGCCCCCAGATGGACTGTGTGAAAGTCAAGAGAGAGAGACTGGCCCCTCCATAAGGGCATGATGGTTATAGTTGCTATCGTTGGGGGATTAGAGTTAGTCTGTCAAGATTCTGTCTATTAGATGCAAGCTAATAAAGAAGCTGAGCTAATTTCTGGACTGTCTGGTGGTGATTCTTTGGCAGAACCTGACAGCAACCTTGTTAATATCTAGTCAGCTTTTTCCTATCAGCTGATTTTGTTTGGCTCTTTCCTGTTTCAATTATTTCACTATCCATCACTTCCCTACATGTCCACTATAGTAAAGGCTAGAGAGAAAATGTGACTTTCAAATGAGTTTACCTGTGTTGAGCTAGAATGTTTGAATCAAGGAAGTGACCTCCATAGCTTTGGACTATAGCTTTCATCTACTCAGCATCCATTTTTTTCCTCTTTCAGCCTTATCATATGATTTACAAAATGGCTAGCAAATAGTCAGGTTTTTTCCCCCTACAAATGTTATATAATGCCCAATTTTCCTTACTTGGAAGCATATGTGACAATGTATACCATTAATTTATGGCCTTGTTTGGTCTTGATTTTTTTTATTTTTTATTTTTTTGGCCCCCTTCTACCTTCTCTAAGAAATGTTACATGGTAAACATAAATACCCACTAGGGGGACAGATGAAACCAAAAAATCCAATTACCATGTGAGACAATTGTAGCTAGAGTCAGGACAATGGTATATTAATGCACTTTGTCACCTATTCATCCTGCAGAAAATATCTTACTGAGATCAACAAGCATTTGTATTTGCCAGAAATATGGGCATTGGGCTCTACCCCAGTTCCTCTTGCCATACCTCATTAACCCAATGTCTTCTGCTTCCCTTCAGTGGCCACACGCCTCTCACTGTCACAGGGTCCAACCTGGATGTTATACAAGAGCCCAGAATCCGAGTTAAGTACAATGGCAAAGAATCTGTCAATGTAAGTAGCTGCTTTTGCCAAAGATTGCAAGTTGCCTTAACCCAATGGTTACATGATTCTTGGACAATATGGCCATGTTGCAAGCTGTGGGTTGGTTGTTTTTCAAAAATATCTTTAATCTCTTGAAAACGATAGGATTGTATATTAAATATAACTCTGATCTTCTTCGTTAATGGGACAGAAGAACTATGTTCAGAATAATCAAAATTCATTCTAATAGGTTTTTCATTAACATGTTTGTATATGATTCTAATTAACCATAGTATTTAGCATGACACTGGCTACATGAGATGGAAGTTTAAATTCTTCCTTTGCTATGAAGCTCACTGGTAGGTTTTCTACACACTTATGAAAAGAGTGGATCTTGCTTTGTGACACCACATTCACTTTCCCTCCCTATAGATGGCAAGGCTGTCTCAGCAAGGCAGAGTTCCTCAGCTTAGACTACCTCAAAAGTTGCTATAAATTAAAACATATATTCTTATGAGACTTATGGGAGCCAGTTTGGTATAGGCACCAGGCTAGAAACCGGGAAACCATGAGTTCTAGTCCCACCTTAGGCATGAAGCTAGCTGGGTGACCTTAGGCCAGTCACTTTCTCTCAGCCCTAGGAAGCAGGCAATGGCAAGCCACTTCCAAAATGCCTTGCCAAGAAAATTGCAGGGATTTGTCCAGGCAGTCACCAGGAGTCAACACTGACTCAAAGGTGTATGTGTATGTGTATGTATGTATGTATGTATGTATGTATGTAT